ACTTGCATTTTAGATTTCATTCCTTCTCAATCTCATAAGGATTTTGGTCCTATATTATCCTTTCTCTCTCCTCTATCTTTAATATCTCCCTCTTCTTTTGGATTATTAGTATTCTCTATATCTCTAGTTAAAAGATACAAAAGATACAAAAATAAACAAAATCTCCCCTGACTTCACAATATCCTTGACTTATATTTTTCTGCTGCTCTTCACAATAAAATTTCTCAAATACCAATCTGTCCCCCCTACCTCACTAAATTACCCCCTACAGTCAATATTGATCCATATGGTGTCAAAGCAATAAGCATTTCTGTCCTCATGTTATTTGTTCTCAGTAACATTGGAGACAGTTAACCACGTTTTCTTTCCTGAAGCAGCTCTTTTCTTGGCTTCCATGACTACACTCCCCAGGTTCTGTCTTTCCTAACTCAGTCTTTTTAGAGAACTATCCTCAATATTTGGAGGTTTCCCAGGCCTTTGTCCTGGGACTTCTTCTCTTATTACATTTTCTTTGATCCCATTCTTTCTTATGGCTTTAAATACTAGCCATGTTAATGACGCTCAAATTGTCATCTCTAGGCCACAACTCTTAAGTCTCAACTGCCTATTTGATATCTATAGTTGGATAATTGGGATCTTCTAGTTCTTTAGGTGCTCAAATTTTGCATCATTAAAAAGGTCACTCTACGGTAGCCACACTCTTCTCTTTCTCCATTATATTTCCCTGTTCATTTCCTTTGTAGTATTTATTCTAACCTTTTAACTTTTTTATTTGCTCACTTACTATCTACCTGCTGCATTAGATTATAAAGTTTTCATTTACTGACTTTTAGTATCTGTTATGCACTGTTCTAACCACTCTATAAGTTTTATAATCTAATTTGTTTTTGACAAACCATATTTATTAAATGTTAAAAAAAAAAAAAAGTAACTTTACATTGCTTCACTCCTATTTTGGTGAAATTAATAGAAGCCAGTGTTAGTAAATTGATTTTCAATCTTACAGTTCCATGAGAAATTTCAAGATGGCGGGGTAATTAGTACTATTATGTTTCACATGCTTAACATTTACATTTGTTTAAATGCACTTAACCCTTAGATCTTTTACTGAATGGATACATCTGAGCACATTCAATTTAGAAACTGTTAAGTAGAGAGACAGAGATAAAATTGTTGAAAAATTTTCACCAGAGATATACCATGAACAGGTAGCTGCCTGAGAAAAACAGGTAGCTTTTCCTAGCTTAAAGTAGTTAAACTGGATACTGGCTCCTAAAAGACAGCTGGTATTATTCAAGTTACAACATACCACAAGCAGCGCACCATGTAGTCCAATTCAAATAAGGTCTGTTTTTTAATTCAGGGTTTATCCTGCCCTGTAATTAAAATCTTTTACCCTTGCTTTTGCTTTCTTTTGTGAAACATTATAACTAGGTTTTAAGTTGAAAATAGCATCATGTATTTTTGTATATTGCAGTTTTTTATATTTTTTCCACATGGTATAGTCTTGTTAACTGAACCAGGCAAAAAGAAGAATGGACATTTTTGAGAATTTTCTGAAATAATGACATATCTAAATAAATGCTTAAATGCTTAATATAATGCAGTTTCAGAATATAATGGTTTGAATTAACATCAAAATACAAAAATGATGGCTTCTTCAGAGCAGTGTTTCTTCCAGATACAGCTCACAATGATATCTTCACATCAGAAGGTTTCTGGTGGCTAGCCTGACATCTTTCTTTGGAAAAAAAATTATTGGCAGCATTCTCAGTCAATGTGAAAGTGTACATAAAGGCAGTGGAACATAGCAAAAAGAACTTCGGTTTCTGGAGTTAAACTTGAGTGTAATATTAGATGATATACTTACCAGTTTTATGGTCTTGAGTAAATTACTTAGTCTTTCTGTGACTCAGTTCCTATAAAATGGGGATCATAATACAAGATTATTAAGATAACAAATGTAAAATAGCAAATGCTCAAAAAAATACTTCTCTTTTTTGGTCCTTGTACTTAATCCTTTTACCACCTGATAAAAGGCAAAGATTTATCAATAGCATAGGTAAATCTTAAAAATATTCAGACAAAAATGAAAAAAAGAAAACTGAAATGTGGGTGGTGTTTGGGGACAGTTCTCTCATAATTTTCAATGGTACAGAGTAGCAGCATTTGTTTTTCTCTTTTACTACCCTTTAAATGATTTACCCATCGGTAGTGTTTTAGAAAAAAAAAAAAAACACCTTAAATACAGGAAGCATCAACACTCAGATTAGGAGGGCAATTTGCGTGCTAAGAATAAATGGGAAGTAAAACATTAAGTTGAGGCAAATGTGCAAAAGCTGAATAAAAGGGAAACTACACCTACCTCAAGTATCTCAGGTTGGGAGCAGCTCATTTTGTGGGCTTGGATATCAGGTGGGGCGCCGCTTGTCAAGCAAGAATCAAGACCAGTTTTGCACCTTTGTTCCGCTGGCCCTGCACCAGCCAGAGCCAAAGTACAAACACCTAGTCAAATCATGCTGGCAGACACTCGCACTGCTTCGATAAAAGTAGGGGGCCAGTGCACAAATTTAGCAATTTAAGAGGTAGTAAGTCGTGTGGATAGGCTGGCTGATGCCTATTTTTAAAAAGCTGACTTGGGTTCGTATCTGAAATTAATGACAAGACTAGACAATTTTTCTTTTTAAAAAACGAGTGATTTCAATTAACTCAGGTAAATCATTCCACTGTAATTTTTAAAATATACTTGCTAGAACCGGATACTTTCTAAAATCCCTATGCGAAAAGGCTTGACTCTTCACTCTGAAACGTTTTGATGTGGAACACCTAAAAGTCCTCCTTAACATTTCCCCAAGGGACTTTCGTAATCTTTCTCTAACATTCTTAAATCTAGACCCATTCCTAACCAACTCTTACCTTCCTCATCAGCCATAACCTTTAGCTTCTCCAGTTTCCAATTTCCTAAAACTTCAACCTTACCTCTCCAATTAGTCCAATCAAACTTTCCCTTCTTAGACTTCTTCCTCACGTTCGCTCCAAGAAACGCCCATGAGAATCACGTGGCCAAACTTGTCCTTAATGGCGCTCCGTAATTCTCTTACAGTTCTACCGCAACTTCCTCGCCTCCTGCAAGCTCCGCCCCGCCCA